TTTATGATATGGGATGTTAGTGCTATTGGTCTGTAGTTCTTTGCTGTTGCTTTACTGCCCCCTTTGTGGAGTGTGTATTGGGGTATGCCTGTCAGGATGTGTGCTAGGGTATGCCTGTCAGGACGTGTGCTAAGATAAGATAAGATAAGATTTCGTTCGGATTTTTAACCCCGGAGGGTTAGCCACCCAGGATAACCCAAGAAAGTCAGTGCGTCATCGAGGACTGTCTAACTTATTTCCATTGGGGTCCTTAATCTTGTCCCCCAGGATGCGACCCACACCAGTCTACTAACACCCAGGTACCTGTTTGCTGCTAGGTGAACAGGACAATAGGTGTAAGGAAACATGTCGGAATTTCCACCCACCGGGAATCGAACCCGGGCCCTCCGTGTGTGAAGCGGGAGTTTTAGCCACCAGACCACCGGTGGATGTGTGCTGGGGTGTGCTTGTCAGGGTACGCCTGTCAGGATATGTGCTGGGATATGCTTGTCAGGGTATGCCTGTCAAGATGTGTGCTGGGGTATGCCTGCCATGATGTGTGCTGGGATATCCTTGTCAGGATGTGCTCTGGTATCACTGTCAGGATTTGCTGGGGTGTACTCGTCAGGATGTGCTGGGGTATCCTTGTCATGTTGTGCTGTGATATCCTTGTCAGAATGTGCTCTGATATCCTTGTCAGGATGTGCTGTGATATGCTTGTCAGGATGTGCTGTGATATCCTTGCCAGGATGGGCTGTGATATCCTTGTCAGGATGTGCTGTGATATCCTTGTCAGGATGTGCTTTGATATCCTTGTCAGGATGTGCTGTGATGTCCTTGTCAGGATGTGCTGTGATATCCTTGTTAGGATGTGCTGTGATATCCTTGTCAAGATGTGCTGTGATATCCTTAACAGGATGTGCTGTGATATCCTTGTAAGGATGTGCTGTGATATCCTTGTCAGGATGTGCTCTGATATCCTTGTCAAGATGTGCTCTGATGTCCTTGTCAGGATATGCTCTGATATTCTTGTCAGGATGTGCTTTGATATCCTTGTCAGGATGTGCTTTGATATCCTTGTCAGGATGTGCTTTGATATCCTTGTCAGGATGTGCTCTGATATCCTTGTCAGGATGTGCTGTGATATCCTTGTCAGGGTGTGCTCTGATATCCGTGTCAGGATGTTCTGTAATATCCTTGTCAGGATGTGCTGTGATATCCTTGTCAGGATGTGCTGTGATATCCTTGTCAGGATGTGTGCTTCGGTATGCCTCTCAGGACGTGTGCTGGGGTATGCCTGTCAGGATGTGTGCTGGGGTATGCCTATCAGGATTTGCTGGAGTATGCTTGTCAGGATATGCCTGTCAGTATGTGTGCTGTTTTGCCTTTGTCAGAATGTTTACTGGGGTTTCCCTGTCAGGATATGTGCTGGGGTATGCTTGTCATGGTATGCCTGTCAGAATGTGTGCTGGGGTATGCTTGTCAGGGTGCGCCTGTCAGGATGTGCTGGAATATGTTTGTCAGGATATGCCTGTCAAGATGTGTGCTGGGGTATGCCTGCCATGATGTGTGCTGGGGTATCCTTGTCAGGATGTGCTGTGGTATCCTTGTCAGGATTTGCTGGGGTGTACTCGTCAGTATATGCTGGGGTATCCTTGCCAGGTTGCGCTGTGATATCATTGTCAGAATGTTCTGTGACATCCTTGTCAGGATGTGCTGTGATATCCTTGTCACGATGTGCTGTGATATCCTTGTCTGGATGTGCTGTGATATCATTGTCTGGATGTGCTGTGATATCCTTGTCAGGATGTGCTGTGATATCCTTGTCAAGATGTGCTCTGATATCCTTGTCAGGATGTGCTGTGATATCCTTGTCAGGATGTGCTGTGATATCCTTGTCAGGATGTGCTGTGAAATCCATGTCAGGATGTGCTGTGATATCCTTGTCAGGATATCTTGCTTCAGTCTTGTTAATCTTGCTGTCACCGACAGGTCAGTTAAGACGCGACCTTCACTGTACTCACCTAATTGTGATTGCAAGGGTCGAGACTTAGCTCCTGGCCCCGCCTCTTCACTGATCGCTACTAAGTCCTCTTCCTCTCTTTCTCTCTCTCTCTCTCTCTGCTCCCTAGACTATGTTCCACAAGATTTGTCTTTATTGTTCACAATCTTATCACTAAAGAAGCTGATCACACTTCTCTTAAGTGTTTATTGTGTTTCATGAGACACTTTGTTCACACTAACGCACAGATCGTTCTTTGTTGGTTATCCTGGCGTCAGTGTCATTCTCAGTAGAGTCAAAAGTAATCTGAAGATGCCACAGCACCCCGCGCCGTTGCTGCCCCTAGCACAAAGGAAAAGCTGACATAGTACCTTTGCTTCCTTGCCACTTCCTCCATGAGGCAAAGCAGAATGTTTAAATCTTGCTGTCTTAACCATAGACAACAATGTCCACTATCTTTACTATGGTAATAAAGTGGGAGCAGGATTTTCCTTAATTGTCCTAAGATAAGAGATGTACTGTCTCTTATTAAAATACACTCTGCAACACTGGACTGCAAGGAGCGGCGGTCGCTTGACCACGTCGCATACTCGTACTGCATCTGTGATCAATTACTCCCTGTAGCAGTAAACAAGATATTTGCCCCTTCTGAGAGGGCTGGGCCCCTCAGGGCTAAAAGGGGCTGAAAGGGGCTGAAGGGGGCTGATACTCCCCTCCTGGAGAAAATTTCTCCACACTGGGGGGCAGCGGAGGTTCGCTGCAGGTGAACTATTCATCATTTATCATTAATTTGATTTTCTCACTCGCCACCACTGCTGCTTGTCTTTTCTGAACAGCTTTAGTCTGTGTGGTTTCTGGAGAATCACTAATTTTGTTTTCAACACTGTGTAATTCTAACGGCACCAGTTTATTTATTGTCTGCTTATTCACTACACCTTTGCTCAAAACATCAACTGTCCTGATGATTCCATTTGCATCAGGATATATGGTCACAATTTTTTCAAGTGGCCAGTGGGACCTCGGACCATCATTGTCAATAATCACTATGTCACCAGGTTTAAGGATTTATGATTTTCAGGAACACCAGCTCCATTGAAGTGTCCTCTCAATGAGGTGAGATAGTCTTCTCGCCAAATTTTCTCCCAACATTCAATAACTTTATTAAGGTGTTTGAATTTACGTCTGAGTTGCTCCGGTGTGAAGGACCAAAATGTTGAGAAATGGTATTACCAGCTAAGCTTATTATTTATAAATTTAAATATAGGGAACAATTAGCTGATAAAAGACAGCAAATCATCTACACAGCCGCCCCTGCAAACGAGGTCTTGAATTGTTGTCATGATCATCTCTCAACGGGCTGGAATAGATCATATTATGTAAACAATAATTTACCCCTAGGGGGTGTTATGTCAGCATATTTCATTCACTGATGGCTGACAAACTTACTTGTGTGGACTCAAAAGTTCGCACCTAACTGCCGACTATAGGTTGATTGCAAACTCCTTGCGACTCAAGAACTGTGCAGTCCCCCGTACTACAAGAAATTCATAACCTACCTTGCTCTTGTAGCGTGAGCTATGGTGTTCTTCACACCTTCGACAGGTATCGGTGACTTGATAGAAGCTGAAGTGTCCTTGGATGTCCATGTCTTCCATAGTCTAGGAATACACACACTGGTACACTATGTTCCACAAGATTTGTCTTTATTGTTCACAATCTTATCACTAAAGAAGCTGATCACACTTCTCTTAAGTGTTTATTGTGTTTCATGAGACACTTTGTTCACACTAACGCACAGATCGTTCTTTGTTGGTTATCCTGGCATCAGTGTCACTCTCAGTAGAGTCAAAAGTAATCAGCACCCCACGCCGTTACTGCCCCTAGCACAAAGGAAAAGCTGACATAGTACCTTTGCTTCCTTGCCACTTCCTCCATGAGGCAAAGCAGAATGTTTAAATCTTGCTGTCTTAAGCATAGACAACAATGTCCACTATCTTTACTATGGTAATAAAGTGGGAGCAGGATTTTCCTTAATTGTCCTGCTAAGGTAAGAGATGTACTGTCTCTTATTAAAATACACTCTGCAACACTGGACTGCAAGGAGCGGCGGTCGCTTGACCACGTCGCATACTGGTACTGCATCTGTGATCAATTACTCACTGTAGCAGTAAACAAGATATTTGCCCCTTCTGAGAGGGCTGGGCCCCTCAGGGCTGAAAGGGGCTGAAGGGGGCTGATACTCCCCTCCTGGAGAAAATTTCTCCACAGCAAAGGTCGAGACTTAGCTCCTGGCCCCGCCTCTTCACTGATCGCTACTAAGTCCTCTCTCTTTCTCTCTCTCTCTCTCTCTCTCTCTCTCTCTCTCTCTCTCTCTCTCTCTCTCTCTCTCTGCTTCCTGAGCTTTGTCATACCTCATCTTAAAGCTATGTATGGTTCCAGTGTGTGTGTGTGTGTGTGTGTGACCCAACAATTAATATTTGCACCAGTAACTCATAGTAGTGACCGGGTTCGGACGTGTGAATTGCTCATTACTCTACAATTTGTTCATGACTGTAGCCATGTATAAACGTAAGTAACTTTACGCACATGATTCATTACCTTCGTAACTTGCTCAGCTATCAAAACTTTAGGGTCCAGTCCCTGGACCCATTATGTACCTCTGTAATTTTTTGACTGCCACCCACAGGATGGGTACGGGGTGACTAGCACCTACAGGATTGGTACGAAGTGACTACCCCCCACAGGATGGGTACGAGGTGACTACCCCCCACAGGATGGGTACAGGGTGACTACCGCCCATTGGATGGGTATTTGGTGCATAATAAACGTATTAAACTAAACTTCACTGGGGGTGGAAGGGCTTTTGATTCAGGGAACTGAAGTTAACCCTACACTTCCTGGATCAAATCTTATGTCTGCTTCCCCATAAATAAAAAATAAAAGCAATAACTAGCAACTTGTTACAACTAACGGTCAGATGAGGCGGCAGCCGCAGCTGTGTCAGTGAGCAGTGTGCAGTGAGTGGGTCAGGTTAGACCGCATGCGGCAGCCGCAGCCTGAAATTAAGGGGGGAAATGACCTTCACTATACGACTTTTGTTCCCTTCATGCGATTTAATATACACAATAGAACATTACTTTCTTATTGCGAACAATAGAGGTAAATACGTTACTACGCAATGCTCAGTGATCAATATTAATCACAGTGGAAGATATTCGTTAAGTGAGCGGATTAATGATACTCGTTAAGTGAGCGGATTAATGATACTCGTTAAGTGAGCGGATTAATGATACTCGTTAAGCGAGCGGATTAATGACACTCGTTAAGTGAGCGGATTAATGATACTCGTTAAGCGAGCGGATTAATGATACTCGTTAAGTGAGCGGATTAATGATACTCGTTAAGTGAGTGGATTAATGATACTCGTTAAGTGAGCGGATTAATGATACTCGTTAAGCGAGCGGATTAATGATACTCGTTAAGTGAGCGGATTAATGATACTCGTTAAGTGAGCGGATTAATGATACTCGTTAAGTGAGCGGATTAATGATACTCGTTAAGTGAGCGGATTAATGATACTCGTTAAGTGAGCGGATTAATGATACTCGTTAAGTGAGCGGATTAATGATACTCGTTAAGCGAGCGGATTAATGATACTCGTTAAGTGAGTGGATTAATGATACTCGTTAAGTGAGTGGATTAATGATACTCGTTAAGTGAGCGGATTAATGATACTCGTTAAGTGAGTGGATTAATGATACTCGTTAAGTGAGTGGATTAATGATACTCGTTAAGCGAGTGGATTAATGATACTCGTTAAGTGAGTGGATTAATGAATGGTTGTGAAGACCGACCAGTGATGAATATAGATTTTGTTAAATTTATTATTATTATCATTATTATTATTATTATTATTATTATTATTATTATTATTATAACTTAGCGATAAAGTTTCTGATCGAAAATGTTACACAGTAGACGTAAGTATATTTATGAGTCGGTAATGTTGCAGTTTGTGAGTAATGTTTCACTATGTGAGTAATGTTTCACTATGTGAGTAATGTTTCACTATGTGAGTAATGTTTCACTATGTGAGTAATGTTTCACTGTGAGTAATGTTTCACTATGTGAGTAATGTTTCACTATGTGAGTAATGTTTCACTATGTGAGTAATGTTTCACTATGTGAGTAATGTTTCACTATGTGAGTAATGTTTCACTATGTGAGTAATGTTTCACTATGTGAGTAATGTTTCACTATGTGAGTAATGTTTCACTATGTGGGTAATGTTTCAGCTCATGTGAGTAATGTTTCAGTTCATGTGAGTAATGTTTCAGCTCATGTGAGTAATGTTTCAGTTCATGTGAGTAATGTTTCAGCTCATGTGAGTAATGTTTCAGTTTATGTGAGTAATGTTTCACACAAAACTCGTAATATTATGCCCAAGGTTTATGTATATTATTATTTAATATTCACATTATTCACTGCAAACAAAGTGCTTGTTACAAACAAATTTTTAAATAAGTACTGTTGACATTGTTTGTCAGTGCTGTATGACCCTTGTATGTCTTAGTTATGATTATATTAATATTTGTTATTCTGCCGACAAAAAATTTGTAATTGTATTTGGGAAGGTCATGGGTGAGAGCATTACTAATATATAATGTATCCTGAGAGTTATAACCAGCGGAACAATAACTGGCATCAGAAAGCTGCTCGTTGAAGCTTGATAACTACGGTGTTGATTTACTGTGAAATATGTACCACCTTCAGAGGGTTGTCTTGATGCTGGAGGGCTGTTGTTAGCCTAAGGAATCAAGGCTGCCACTTCCCTTCCTTAGATTTAACCTGAGTCCTTACAATCCGTAGGCGCTGCAAGTATAGTGATTCCCTGTACTTGAGTGTGAAGCAGCCTTAGTACAGCAACATGAAGCGTAAGGAAGTCAAGTTGTGGAGGAAGCTGAGGTTGAACACTGTGTTGATCCACCGTGCTGTTCTTGTGGTTATAACTACAACACTCATCATATATGCACACTTCCTGCTCACTCATGAACTACTCTCTACACCACCACGACCTCAACATCACAATTATTCGAGTGAAACCCCCTCAAGACGAACAGTTAGAGGCCACAATGTTAACACCACGAAAAATATGACTGGTAATGAAAGAATGTTGCGGAAGGTTAAGTTAGTCACATACAAACCTCTTCACCAGCCTCGATACAGACTTACCAATGATTCTGTGTTACCACAAGTTCCTTATTGTACGGTAAGTGTGTTTACTTTCTGTGCTCCCACTGCTTCCCTGTGTTTCCTGGGGAAGCACTAAACAGCGTGCGGCCAGGTTGGATCTGAGGAAGTGGAGGGAAGAACCGCTTCCTTGGATCTAGAGACCCACGCCAGCATCAATGCATGAATTTGTAAATACGTGAATTACAGATAAATTAGATTTTGATAAATTTGAAAACACGCAGTTAGATCGATAATAATAATAATAATAATTATTATTATTTGTTAATTAAAAACGCCAAATCCTTTGGGTCATACATAGTGACATTTATTGGAGAAGCGCTAAATCCGTAAAGGTTATTCAGCGCCTGGAGGACTGGCAGACATAACTGCACCACATGCTCATCCTGTGCACCACATGCTCATCCTGTGCACCACATGCTCATCCTGTGCACCACATGCTCATCCTGTGCACCACATGCTCATCCTGTGCACGACATGCTCATCCTGTGCACCACATGCTCATCCTGTGCACCACATGCTCATCCTGGGTCTTGATCACTCTTCACTTAACTTAGGTACATCACTTCAGATACTCGAGTTATTTCATATATTACATTTACATCATACAATATGAAGAAACAATCTTCAGAAAATTCATGTACCTTATTGCTACTAAATAGCAAATCAGGGAACGGGTGGGGATTGAACCCAAGGCTAGTGAGTCATGAAACTTCCATGAGTTGTTTGCAGTCGTGTTATTAGGATTTCCTGAGTTATTAAATAGCACTGGATGAACTAATAGCATTAGTTCATCCAGCCGATGAAAGATATATATGCTGTATCAAGATTTCTGATTTCTTAAAATTAATAGTGAAATGGTTTGGCATTTTCCATATGAGTTTGTATGGAGGTGCCACAACGAAGATTAATGTTTGGACTCTCTTATGATATAACGTGCCAGTATATGGCCCTATTAAAATCATATGGCCCTGTCTCTGTCCACACGATCACATGGTCCTGTCTCTACACAATCACATGGCCCTCTGTCCACACGATCACATGGTCCTGTCTCTACACAATCACATGGCCCTCTGTCCACACGATCACATGGTCCTGTCTCTACACAATCACATGGCCCTCTGTCCACACAATCACACACTTCATATTTTTATAACCTAATCGTCAAGCAATGACTATTAGGTTATATTTTTCATTAGTAGTTCAATACCTTATGTACCACATCCAATTAAAGGCTCCTAACAGGTTCAAGAACTGGAAGCCTGAGTTATGATAGGTTAGTAAATTACAGTGGTAATGAACTACAGTGTTTAAAGTGTAATGACCAGAAAATATATTAGTTGTTTATGTGAACATAAATCCACTAACAAAAACATTGAAGTGTAACTTATGTGTTTGGTGAGTTACTTATAATACCCAATATTTACTTATGTATGGTACTTGGTATATTTCATATGCAATTGATTTGTGATTTGCTAGTTCCTATTTGTTTGCTTGTACCTTTGACAGCTTTTTTGTTAAACCTGATTGAGAAATTAAAGTGTGTAATATGGTGCCCGTGGCCTGATCGCTAAAGCTGTCGCTGCACACGGCGAGGGTCTGCGTCCGATTCCCGGCGCGGGTAGACACATTGGGCGTGTTTCCTTACACCAGTTGTCCGTGTTCATCCATCAGTAAAATGGGTACCTGGGTGTTAGTTGACTGGTGTGGGTCGCATCCTGGGACAAGGACCTAATTTACCCGAAATGCTGAGCATAACGAGGGGCTTTCTATATAGTAGTATGTCAATGATGCCATCTATGGTCTGTATACCTTGGACCTGGAGTTTACCTGGAGAGAGTTCCGGGGGTCAACGCCCCCGCGGCCCGGTCTGAGACCAGGCCTCCTCCATGTACTTGTAGTAAATAAAATTTTTATTATTATTATTATTATTATTATTATTAGTTCAGCTAAGTCATACTTGCGTGGGCCTATGTGAGAGGGAAACTTAACCCTAATTCCCCTTTTATAATATCTTGGATTCACCTGTGTCTAGCTTCATTAAGCATATCTCATTCAGATCTCTGGCTATTTACAGCCAGTAATGTGGGAAAAGTCACATACATTTAAAATGTCTGTTGTTGTTTCCACAATTTTAGGAGAAATAAACACGACGTGGAACAGTCCAGTTTGTAGTGTGGAAGCCCAGTTATAAATTGCATCTCATCTCGGAATAACACCAGCATCAGCTGGTTTATGGTAACAGCGCTTCCTGTCTTGCCACTGTCAGAATTATGAGGGAGCCATCAGCGTAGATCATTTGTGTGATATTTTTAGTCTGCAGGTACTGTAGGTGTTCCAGAGCACAGAGTTTAGATACATGCCTACGATGAGGATTGTGCACCAAGTGATTTGTTGACTTCTCACATTATCATAGCTCCTTGATATTGTGAGAAGTCACGAAAACGCTTGAAATTTCACTTTCCTTTCACAGTGGTTGTTTGGCATATTCTGATATCATCTGTTTACTGTGATCTTATTGCATATTAATATATATAATATATATATATATATATATATATATATATATATATATATATATATATATATATATATATATATATATATATATGTCGTGCCGAATATGTAAAACTGGTCAATTAGCAATAACTCATTTAAAATTAAGTCCTTTCTGAAATTTTCTCTTATACATTTAAAGATATATTTTTTTCATTAATGTTATTGTAATGTTTTTTAATTTTGCACCAAAAGAATCTTAGAAAACTTACCTAACCTTATTATAACAAGAACAATTTATTTTAGCCTAACCCAACCAAATATATTTTAGATTTGTTTACAATAATTTAATAATAAACAAACCCAGTGAAATATATTTTTTTCGTTAGGTTCAGAATGATTTTGGCGAAATTATTGCATACACAAATTTTCGCTTGTCCTATATGGCAAGATGAGCGTTGCTATTTAAGCCAAGATCGCGAGTTCTGCCTATTCGGCACGACATATATATATATATATATATTTATATATATATTATATATATTATATATATATACATGTGTGTGTGGGGGGGAATTATCTGAATCCATTTTGATTCACTTGTCTTACAACACGGGCCAGTAGGCCTAGTCATTCCCCTCACGTGGTATCTACAAATATCCTCTGTGTCCTTTAATTGTCTGTCACGGCTTGACAAAGCTACTGTAGAGCGAAACGTTAATAGCAACTGTGTTCTTTTACCTAACACATTGTCGGCAGTTCTACTTTATTGGATCTTAGATATTGTTGGGAAAGTTTAAGTTTCTAATGATTTATTGAACAATGTTGCAATGGCAGGTGACAACATACGAGCTTCTATTTTTGTACAATAATGGTGATACATTAGCATAGCTACCATTCTCTTTTTCATTATAATATCGAGGAGAAATTGCCAGCAAGGTAGTCAGTCGCTTGAGGATTGCAACTCAGTATTTTCCTACTTAGACTTGATCCTATAGTAGAGAAAAAAATCATTAAATATTGTAAATCCTAATCTGATTTACAAACTCCGGGTCCTCAGAGCTTCTCTCGATACTTCCCTTTTGAAAATATATTTCCACAGGTGGGACCTCTAATATTAATCACTTTTATTGGTATTACAAAACATGCTCATTAAAATTTGAGACATTGTAAGTGGACTGTATAATGTAGAATGAACCGATAGAATGGAATGTTACATTGTAGTTTTATATAGAAATGGAGACAAATGTTATTAATGCTGCGCTACGTAACATACTAACCTGTGATGGACTTGTATACTTCTGTCTGCTCAGGCGCCCGAAATATGCTAAGAATATCTTTATTCCTCGTGGGAATACTGAAAGAGATATGACAACGTGAAGATGATTTATTATTTCTTCCATGTTAGTAGGTGGGGAAGCGGTGAAAGGTGTGGCCATTTTCTCTAGACTCCTGAGGTACAAAGTTACAGTTATAAAGGCGGACTCTGTTCACCCTAACTCCACGCCAACTCGGCGTCATTCAAAGTGGCTGTGTTGACTTACAATGTTGTTAAATGACAGCTAGCTACTTTTACAAAAAAACTTTATCGAAAGGTAAATAATGTATTATAAATATTGTACCAGCGTGTATGTGTCACGTCACTCATCACCTGTGTCACGTCACTCATCACCTGTGTCACGTCACTCATCATCATACAAGTATTGACTGGGATCCAGCAGATATTGACTAATGCCAACAGGTATTAATTAGGATCAAACAGGTATTGACTTTGTTCAAACAGGATTTGATTACGATCAAACAAGTAATGGAAGGAACGAACGATTCTTGCATGTATAAAAGGAGACAGTAGATGGCAGAGAGAGACTAGCTCCCTTAAGGTTTATTATACTTATAGCCGGAGTGTAAGATACAAGATAGACGAGTTAAGATTAATTGTATGTGCAGGAAGCATAGATATTATTGCTTTAACAGAGGAGAAATTAAGAAATCAATATACTCAGTTAAAGAGAGAAATAAAAAGGGGGATAAGAAAAACAGAGATTATGAGGTTAAAGTCGCAAGGGAATGGAAGACTAACCCAAAAGGATTCTTTCAGGTATACACAAGTAAGATTAGGGAAGGATAGGACCACTCAAAAGTTGCTCTGGTCAGCCCATTGACAGTGATAAGGAAAAGTATAGATTTTTTAACACATACTTTCTCTCAGTTTTTACACAGGAAGATACTAGCGATATTCCAGAAATAATAAATTATGTAGAACAGAACGATCATAAACTATGCACAATTAGGGTCACAAGTGACAAGGTCTTTAGACAAATAGATAAATAAAATCTAACAAATCCCCAGGCCCTGATGAACTGTACGCAGGGTTCTAAGGGACGTAAAGAGGAGCTTAGCAAACCTTTGGCTAATCTTGTTCAACTTATCACTACAAACTGGCATAGTGCCAGATAACTGGAAAATGGCAAACGTGCTACCTATTTACAAAGCAGGTGACAGGTACTTAGCTTCAAACTATAG